CTTCCAGACAAGCAATCTTGGTTCCAAACTCAAAATAGGACATAATTCGCAAAGAAAATACAATCGTTGAGTCGGTATTCTACCACAGTGTTTTCGACAGTACGCAGAACCGTCGCGCATTCACTATGCTTTTTCCCCACTAGGAACATGTACACATACGGCAATGGAGTATCTTCCTTATTTATCCGGTTTCGCTGATATAGGCAGATGATCGTAAATAGCTGGGTGAATATAGTTGGACTCACTTTGAATGTTTCATCGACAAATCGTACAAGACTTCAGCACAATAACTTAATATTAAGTTATTATCAATATTATCAAAGAGGAAGTTTGGCGAATGTTCTAGACGGACAAAAACAAATGCGGCAGCATAAGAATCAATTTATGTTGTCGAGAAATGGATTCGACAATCTGCACCAGAACCGTTTATATATTAATTCATTTACACATATATTTTTGTTTTATAAAGAAATTATATTAAATGATCGCCTGTCTTTACCATTTAGTATTATTAAATTATTATTATTTTTCATAATATATATTCCTTAATTGAAATAACAAAAATTATCGAATTTTTTAATAATAATATTATATACAGTTTAATTCAGAAAGTTAAAATTTATTAACAGTATTTGCAGTAGTTATTGATTAAATCAGTAATTTAAAAATCGCACGTCTCTACAAATTTAATTAAAAGGTATATTTTTAATTTATATGCATTAATAATGCATAGACCCTATAAAAAAACCTATAGAAGTTATGCCAACACAAGATAAAAGTAATAAATACTTTTGTGATTATATATATATTAAAAAAATATTGTACATATATTTTAAAAAATTAATACATGAATAATAAATATGATATAAAAATAAGATTAAATAATTTGTAGATATACGAAAACTGAGGACAGATTGGTTTTAAATTTACTAGCATATCATAGCATATTAAGTATATCCAGTGTGACAAAATGCCATAAGCTTATCGGCTATCTTTCTTTAAAATTAATCTTAGGAACTACTCCAATTTTATTAAATTAAAATTAAACACGTTTTCAGTAGTATATTATAAATACCTAAAGAGGCGTCATACGTGTTCATATATTCGGATGTCATGAATTGGGAGACTAGTGCGGTCTTACCAACTCCTGAATCGCCCAACAATACTACCCTGTACTTAGGTATTTCTTCGGCAACGCTGGATTCACCAGAACTTAGGTCATTGTAACTACTATTACCGCCGCAACACGAACCGTCAAAAGGAGATATTCCACTCAGGTTACTAGGACTGTGTCTATAAAATAATAAAATATAATTAGATAAAATAGCATTTTACACATAAAAGGAATACATGTTAACATGTTGTATAAATAATTTGTTTATTTTGACGTATTTAACTGGATTTTTATTAGTTGAAATACGTTCTAGAGTATCTATTAAATTATTATGCACTTTTTAGTAGTTTATAACACGATAATACATTAATTTTTAAACTTTATTTCTATAGGTTTTAGATATTTAAAAATTTTAAAAAATCAAGTAGAACAATAGTGACGCCTACTATGGTCCATAATAAATATAGAACAATATTTATCCACACTACAAAGATACTTTTAAACATATATAACTAATCATTTTATTAGTAAGAAAACCCCTATATATATACAGGGTGAATCAGCACTCAATGACAACTTAAATAACTTTTGATCCAATTAATATTTTTTGCTAATTTTTTTTTTTTAATATTTTATATACTTATGAGCTATAATAATAATGTAATAAATATCTTCTTCTTCTTCTTCCTCGCCTTAATCCCAACTACTTGGAGTCAGCCACCCTTATCCTAAACTTCTCCTTGATACGATCTCCCACTTTCTCTACGCTCACATCAGCAGTCCTCATATCGCATTCAATAACATCTCTCCATCTCTTTTCTGGTCTACATCGACCTCTTCTTTATTCAACATTCCTTTCTATAACTGTTCTTACAGTTTCTGATTGTTCTCTCCTCAAAACATGACCAAACCATATTAATCTATTTTCTCTCATCTTATCCACGATTGACGCTACAACTATACTCCCTCTTATATGTTTGTTCCTTATCCTATCTTCTTTAGTCACTCCACTCATCCATCTAAGTATTCTAATCTTTGCTACACTCATTCTTTGCTCTACTTTCTTGTCATCCGCCCAACACTATGAACCATATATCATGGTCTCACTACAGTCTTGTAGAATTTACCTTTCAGCCTCACTGGAATTCTTTTATCACATAAGACGCCAGACGCTTCTCTCTACTTCAACCACTCATACTTAATCCTTAATCATTACATCCTCGTCAATGCCACCGCTCTTTTGCACAACTGATCCTAAATAATTAAAACTTTCCACCTCTTCAATCACGCCCTCTCCTATTGTCACTGATCTCCTCATTTCACCTACCTCGTGTTCTCCTTTGTCAAATTCGTACTCTATATACTCTGTCTTACTCCTACTTATTTTTTAACTCTTTTCTTCAAGAGCTGATCTCCACACATCTAGCCTTTGATTAATTTCCACCCTATTTTCTCCTATTAACACTATATCGTCAATAAACAACATGTACCACGGCACCTCTCCTTGTATTTCTCTAGTAATTACCTCTCGGTAGTCTATCATACGCTTTCTCCCATTTGATAAATACTATACACAGCTTTTTATTCTTTTCCCTAAACGTTTCTATTAGTTGCTTCACAAAAAATAAGGGCTCCATTGTTGACTTATCACTCATAGGTCCAAACTGATTTTTAGTTACCGATGTCTCAATTCTTATTCTTTTATCTATTACCTTTTCCCAAATTTTCATACTATGACTCATAAGCTTTATGCCTTTATAATTTCTACACTCCTGCTTGTCTCTTTTATTTTTTAATATCTGCACTACAATACTATTCCTCCATCCATTTGGTATTTTCCCTCCTAATAAGATTTTATTTAAAAGATCCTTCAACTATTTTAAGTTAACACTGCCTAATATTTTTCATACATCTACTGGCACTTCTTTTGGTCCTACTGCTTTATTATTTTTTATTGATGCCTCAGTATACCATACCTCTTTCTCACTAATTAAATCGATCAGTCCTATGTGCCACGAGATATCCTCTAATGCATCTTTTGGATACACCTCATTCAGTAATTTTTCAAAATACTTTTTCCATATCATCACACGATAGCATCCTAATATCAACACTTTTTATATACCTTACATAGTGATAATCTTTAGACCTTTTTTCTCTTGCATATCATACAACTCATCATACCTTTAAAACTTAGAAAAAAATTTTCTAACTTTTGTAATAAAGATTAGAGATAATTATTTCTGTATAAAGCGCGTTTAACGTTATTATGGAAAAGAAATCGCGTACTGTTACCAGTAAAAACGTAATAAATGTTTACTTCTGTACTTCACATAATATGGACTAACATTTGATACCATAGGAAAATTGTATAAAAAATCAAAATTGAAAAAAATTTCAAAATTCTGTATAAACGTAACTACTTAATTAAAATAAAAGATTTTGGTATCAAAATTTTTCTTTAGACTTTATTTATAAAATGGCTATCTTCAAATCTTAAAAATAAATTTAATAAAAAGATTAATTTTTAAAATGTTTTTTGTAATTGCAAAAAATAACATAAAACATATTTTAAATAAAGTTCTATATTGTAAAAAATTGATTAAAAAAACAAGTATAAAATGTTATGTAGATCATATATTATATAAGTTGTCAGTTAGAATAGTTCTACTATACATTATATATATATATACATTATTTATATATATATAAATTATTGCATTGTTCTTCAATTAAACTAGTTAATATTTTTATAAATATTTATTAATATATTATAACAAAATTAATTAAGGCAAAACAAAAGGGAATCTGATTTAATTTTTTTGTATGTTTTTCAAAATCCTAATGTAAGTATTGGTCATAATTTCAAACAGGTAGCAACAAAATCTTACAAACTAAGTAGTAATTTGTTAGAGTGGCAACTCAGTTTATTTCTCACTACATTTTCGATGGTCGTTAGTTTGTCACCATGACGACTCTTATGATACACGTATGATTCTGATATGTCCATCAAAATAGAAATACCACTGGGAATAGACAAACGCCTACTACAAATACGGTCATTCTATATGGCTATTTAACACATTTAAATAAAAGTTGTCTGACTACAACTGCGAAAATTAAAAAACGCAATAGAATTATGATTAAAAACCTATTGATATGTGCATTATCTAAAAAAAAAAATTAGTATGATACCAAAACCACTGTAGTCTGGATGATAAATATTATAGTCGACCGTCAGATTAATTAGTATGCTTGTCGAGTAATACTACTGTTTACAAATTTAATCACTGTTGGTGATAGAATAAAAAAAATATTGGTTCGCAGCTCGTCATACAGTAGACCCTAATTTTGGGTAACTTTTGTATGTTTAGTATGTTTTCTGTATAATTTTTATGCTTCATATAGTAAAATATGTTATGTGATTTTAAATTCAATAAAATTATTGAAATTCAAATTATGGATTATATAAAACAAAAATTAATTATTGAAATATTGTAAGCTAACACTTTCAGTAGACTTATAGAGAAAAGTCTAATGGGTTTTTCCGAACAATTTAAAGTAAAATAGTCATTTTTAAAATTGAAGTAAGTATTTATAATTTATATACTAATCTAAATATATAGGGTAATAAGACACTCATTTTCTTGGAAAATATGGAACATTTTAAATTTTCGCCAAGGAAAAAATTGTTTTATTAAAAAAACTCTACAATAATAGTAGTAAAATAATTTTTTTTTTTTATCCCAACAGAACAAAAAACTAAACTTTAATTTTCTTTAATGGAAATACTTATATTTATAGTTTAATTGTATGATAAAAAATGTTTTTCAAATGATTTTGTTCTTATCAACATTTTTATTAAAATAAGCATTCCATTTCGGTTAATTTTTATTAAAGATTAGCAATTAATGATAAATTTTCTATTGATAATTATCAATATTATAAACAGAAAATTATAATTTTTGCATAACATATTTATGATATACAATAGCAAGGGTGAATATCGATAATAATTTATTGGTAAATTTTAACAATTTTGGTCCATTAAAAAAGACTAGTGTTGCCTTCGACATTACAAAAACCAAATCGATAAAAGAAAAATTACGTAACTACATATTGTTGTAGACTTTTTTAAATCAAATAATATTTCCATATACAAAAATTAAAAAGATTCTAATGTGTCTGAAAATGAGCGTTTTATCCTAAATGAATCAACTGTATAATATACAAGGTGATCCATATATACAGTGTATATACATTATTTATATAAATATTTGATACGAATAAAAGAATAAATGCTTTAAAGTTTGCTCCTCCGTGTTCATTTAAATAACTGAACACTTGAAATCAATAACGTGTTGTGTGCCAAAAAAAATATTTTGAGTAATTCATCATTTTTTGAAATTCTAAGAAAATCTAAACAAAAATGTAATACCCTTAAATCGTTTCTACATATAATAGTGTATTTAAACTATTTAGGAGTTCTTTTTACTGTATAAAATCGTTATATTTCGTGAATAATTCTAAGTAAATTTAAAACTACTAATCATAAAAAAAAATTACATTTGTTCCTTGACATTTTCATTTATTTCTAAACATGTATATTTTTGTAATTACTTTTGATTTACATAAAACAAATATTACACCCCCCTTTATTTCATTCCTCCCCCTCTTTTCGCACTAGGGTCGTTTTATAAATTATTTGACTTAAATAGATCTTTACTGGTTTCAAGACTTCAAATATAAATAATAAATCATGAAACTTTAATAAATTCTTTGATACTGTGTAGTTCTAATAATTTCTTAATGAAAAAGAAACATATAGAATAAAACAGTATAATTACTCAAATAAAAATATTATATGAAACGTAGTAATTTTAAAAGTAATATTAGTGACAACTAAAGATGTCAAATTAACAACAATAAATTAAGTTGTTTCGTTTAAAATGTCATCATAAAACTATTTTTAACAGTTCATGAACATTCTTTCAATCACTCAAAATCTAAAATATTGATATTTTTTAAATTACTGAGGTAATTGACAAAAAATACTTGACTTTAACCACGTTAGTATTTTTAAAATGACACGGATTATGGCTGTACAGAAAGTTACGCTGGATTTATGATTGGTCGGTTTGCTTACTAAGCAGGAAATTAACTTGTCATCCAAAGGAAA